CCGAACAACTGGGGAGATGGCCGAATATCCCCGATGGAGCATCCACTTTCGTGTGGGGCCAGGATACGACACGAGAGTGCATCTGCTCGAACGTTGTCCGCCCTGGGAGATAAACAGGCATTACCGGTATGTCGAACTGAGGTCGCACCAGAGCAGAAACTGCCATGCCTCCTGCAGAAGAGACGGGAAACTGTGCAGCCTCTGCTTCAGGATGTAGGTCATTGCCGCCTGGTTGTCCATCTCGAGGCGGACCACGCGGCCTTGGCGAACCTCCTCGGTCGTTTGAACACCAACCTGACTGCTCTCACTTCTAGCACATTGATGTGCAGTTGCGCCGCTTGTGACCACAGGCCTGAGACCGACAGAGCCCAACCGCACGCTTCACCCTGTGAGGGAAGCGTCCGCCTGAATTGAGAGAGACATCTGGCGACATGGATGTCCAAAGGGAGCCTTGGATAAATTCCTCGCCAGTGTCCACCACCGTGAATGAGGAATTAGCCACCCTGGAGTGTGGAGAATCAACTTCGTAACCCTGGTGTGGACCCACATTCGAGCTAGAGCCTGCTGAATGGGTCGCGATCCTCAACAGCCAGCGCCAAACTTGATGTCCACCGCTGCCGCCATGTTGCCTAACAACTGGAGCCAAGTCTGAGCTGAGGCCCTGGGGAACCGAGAAATTGTAACACAACTCTCTGGACTTTGGTGGCGCGGTCCGAGACTGGGGAGACTATCCCTGCAGCTGTCTCAACCTCGCCCTAAGAACACCAGATCCTGGGTGGGAACCAGTTCTGATTTCTTGAGGTTGATAATCCAGCCCAACTTGGTGAGAATACTCATCACAGCAAAGTGTCGCAACTCGACTCAAGTGAGTGGCAAGCGCCTGCGAAGGAGCCAATCGTCTGGAGTACGGGTGACAGCACCTGCCCCAGTGACCACGGCTACCTGAGCTGGAATTAGCATGAGTTTGGTGAACACCCTTGGCGCTGTGGAAATGCCGAAGAGGAGTACCGAAACTGATAGCACCTCCCCACGTCGAAGGAAAACCTTAGGTATTTCGAACTTCGGGGAGTGCATAGGGACATGGAAGTGCAGCGTCTTTGAGGAGTCGAATTGGCGTGAGCCAATCTCCCTTCTCCACAGAGCGAAATCACCCGAACGCGAGTGTTTCCATCTTGAATGATCGGTACCTCTAACATGTCGTTCAGACCTTTGAGGTTTAGAATAAGGTCTGAACCCTCCGTCCTTTTTGGTGACAAGGAAATAAGTTGAGTAAAACCCAACATTTCTTGTCCCACAGGAACCATCTCTATGGCTGCCTTGTCCAGCAACGACTGGACCTCGGCGCGAGCACTTCCGCCTTCTCTAGGGCAGCCGGCACTGGAGTGCAACGGATCCCGAGGAGAAGGGGGTGGGTCTCGCTTCCACTGTGGCAAGTGGCCTTCCCTGAGTGTGGACAGGACCCAGGGGATTGGGCGTGACTTTTCCCCATTCCGACAGGAAGAGGAAAGTCGACCACCCACAGGATATGTGGCAGGAGACATTGAATACGGACTTTGGCAGTACTCTGACTGCTTGGTCTGGTACCAACAAAGGGCCTCGGAGGAATTATAGCTGGGAAGCGGGGCTGACTTCCTTCCTCTGAAAAGGCTGGTGGGCGCCGTGGCCTGCCCTTGCCTACCTCTGCCGCTCACCCTCAGCGACTGCAAGGGCTGAGCCCATTTAACAGATTCCTTCGCCGCAGAAAGGATATCACGGAGGAGACAACCGGGGCCGCGAAGCGAGGCGTGTGAGGCTGTTCCAGCAAGGGCTTAGAGTCCTTGAAGGTTGAGACAGCCTCGCTGCCTCCCCGGACTACTGTAGCTGCCCGGGGAACAGGGTAGAACCCATCGAGAATGGCAGCCAGCAGAGCCTGTTGGCGTGGCAGGCTAATACCTGCGCCCGCGGAAAGCCACAGGCGGCGGAGGCCCATCACCGCCCGACATCATTTGGCAAGCCGACTGACCTGATAGAAATCAGCTACGCCAGATGTGACTGTACCTCCGTTAATTGCTTAGCCAAGGTGGAGGGAGACGAATCTTCTTCCACCCCACCCACATCCAGTAGTTGCCTCTGCAACACCGAGATGTGGCGAATGGATCGTCACTTTGAGGCATTGAACGCATTGCGGTATTGCTCTTCAAAGGATCGATAGGCGGATTTAAGCTGGCGTTAGTCGTGGAGCGGCGGAAGCCGGGCGACCTTTGCTTGGCTGAAGCCATAGAATTACCCGACGCACCCCAGGGCTTACCGGATGCGTAAACCACAATCGTCAACCACTGGGGGATTGTAGAGGCAAGTTCTCCCCATGAGGTACCGGCCCGGTCAAGTTCTGGCAAATCGAACTGGACCTGGTACCATGACAGAGGAGGGGTTGATTACTTCAGACAAGACTGAGGGTAATATCACGCGGCCTTGTGTCCCCACCTTGGTGGGAGCAAAAGCCTCCCCTGGGAGTGCTTAAACTCCCTGAGGGTCGGGTCGCCAGTACTGACCACTACCTGGGGCAGGACAGAAAGCAATACGCCCTCGCACCTGCCTCAGGGGCGCTACCGAGCCGACCAAAGGCGTGCCCAACTCCTCCCTCGACCCTCATCCTCCTCCATAGCCTCCTCGAATCGATCCTCAATGGTGAGGTCTCTGTTTCCAGAGAGCTCTGAGGATCATCATCGAGGGTCTACAGAAGAGGGACAAAGGCTCGAGCAGAGCCGGGTTGCCCGGACACACACCGACCCAAGACTTCGAGACTGAGTCGCTGTGCCGTGATGAGGAAGAGCCCGTGCTGGGATTCCTCAATGGTAGACAAATGATCCAGACACCGAATGGCCCGCCAAGCCGGCGCAAGCGGAATGGGACCAGTCGCAGTAGCGGCAACTACAGGGACTGCTTAAACTACTAACTACTGGACCAGACCCGAGCCAAGGCTGGGGCCGGTAGGTTACTGCCGGAGGGTGGCCAGCAACCGAGGCGAAACTTCGGAGCCGGCGCTTTTCGACAGAAACCCCACACCAGAGCCTAAGCTGAGGTTGGGAGCACTGCCCGCCATAGACCCGACACACACACCCGCACCTGGTGGGACACCACCTCTCTGTCGGAGGCCAGCCATCGCAGCGTCCAGCCACGAGTGTGGGACCGAATCCATCTGCTTCTGCAATATATCAGAAAGTAAAATCAATTGTTAGCTGGTTAGAAACAGGGACAGGAGGGGGAAGGTGCCTGTGATGTTGAGGGGGATGGCAGGTGAAGGAGCCGGAGGCCCGTACCCTTCGCCCGCCAGTAGAGCATCCCGAAGAGAGGAAGCGAAGCCTTCTTTTTCTTTGTTTTTATCTTTGTCTTTAGGCTCCTGACCCCAAATGTCCCCCGCCTAGTAGGGCGTGTAGAACATGTAATCAGCACGTCTGGACTTGATGCTGCTTGGGGAGAAAGCCTGACACATAGAACAACCTTGTTCGTCATGGGCCCTCCTAAACAACGTAAGCAAACCAGGTGGCGATCCTGAGGCGACAAACTGCGCTACAGGTGACACACCCCTTGGGCTGCAAAAACAGAACCACGCTATGATAATAGCAAGGACTGTATGCGATATACATAATATAATATGCACACAACAAAACAGAACAAAATACAACGCCCTGGCGATATTTTAACTGCTACAGCAAAGCTATTAATTACTAGCGTAAAGCCATAATAGCGGCCGTAATTAAGTACATAGGTGACAAAGAGCAACATGTGTGAAGCGACACGTGCGGCGATCCACGAAAACACTCAAAGCAAAACTTACCTAAAGCCTGAAAAAGAGGAATTTAGGCAAGTATAATCTACAAAATGAAATATCAGCCCTTTCACAACCCGACTACAAGGCTTTTTCTACTAAAGCCAGGAGAAGGAAAAGCAACGGAACCCAGCGGTCCGCCATCTTGCCTGCCACGTGGCTGGAGACAGCGAACTGCGCGGTAAAGTTACAACAAATCATGAATGAAAAAAGTCATACAAAGATTCCAGCTAACGCCCGAGCGAAAAAAAGGAACCATACATACAGGATTTGACTCTATCTCACTCATCCTTATTCGTATCTTGGACCATGCAAACGACCTACACGGCCGACGACAGCATGAAAAGTGAGGTACGAGGTACACAGCCAGAGTTACCTGCTCTTGGCTGTAGGGGGCCCGCTACGGGGCCCTGTAGGGGTGGTCTCACCACACATAACGAGTTTTTTGTTTGGTAAAATATTTTATTGAAATATTGTTACAACTGTCGTAGGCTTTTAAAATGGACATTTTAATGCTTATATGTACCCCAAGGAGGACTTCTTCTGAAAAAGAATGGACCTTTGGCGTACCAAGCGAGTGCTTTAACCACAGTAGGCTACCCCACAGACCCTTAAGCCCTATAGAATATGGACCATATCACGCATGACCCTGATGAAGAGCCTACCTTTATCAATGATGCTCTGCCACAGGTTATCAATAAGCGCATTGTCGTACAGTCCAGCACAGTGGACAATGGCCAGCTTACACTCCGATAAGTCAAACCTGTCTGCATACTCTTCGTACAGCTGAAATCAGGAATTGTTAGTGTGTTAGAGGTGTTGAAGTTTAAAGCTTGTTCTAACTGCAACCAATTCAATAGCAGGATATTGTTACAACTGTTGATCATCCACAAAATATATCAGTATTATTGTGTTGTTACAGTGTTGTAGGTCTTCACTGGTCAAAACAAAATATGCTGAAATCGGAGTTAACTGGACATAGCTTCAGAGTTTAGGGTTAAATGCTGCCCCCAGTAACATTTCAGATATATGACATTAGCCTGAAAATAATTGGACAATATGGTGTTTGTTATAATGAGCAAATGCTCCATGCTTTCAACATAGGACAAGAACACATGGTCAACAGTATCTCCCCACTGTTCTTATTTGGTTCCTGTTTTTTAACTCCACCACAACATTCTTGTCCTGAAAACACATAACAAAATTTCCCTATCTGTAACAGTTTCTGGGAAAATCTGTCCCCATTGGGGATACCGAGTACTAAGTCAAGTAATGCATGACAATAATTCTGTAACAAATTGCAACACGGTTTCCATTTTTAAAACCAATCAAGGCATTCATGTCCCCTTGGTGGGGGGAATAATAAACTCTGAGAGTTTGACAAATTAAGTCGGCTTTTACGACCAACGTAAGTTGCTAGGGTCCTATTTTAACCTGTATTCTTCCAGTGTGGTGTACTGCTACCGAGTGTGGTGTACTGCTACCGAGTGTGATGTACTGCTACCGAGTGTGGTGTACTGCTACTGAGTGTGGTGTACTGCTACTGAGTGTGGTGTACGGATAGTGAGTGTGGTGTACTGCTACTGAGTGTGGTGTACTGGTACTGAGCGTGGTGTACTGCTACTGAGTGTGGTGTACTGCTACTGAGTGTGGTGTACTGCTACTGAGTGTGGTGTACTGCTACTGAGTGTGGTGTACTGGTACTGAGTGTGGTGTACTGCTACCGAGTGTGGTGTACTGCTACTGAGTGTGGTGTACTGCTACTGAGTGTGGTGTACTGGTACTGAGTGTGGTGTACTCAGCTACTGAGCGTGGTGTACTGCTACTGAGTGTGGTGTACTGCTACTGAGTGTGGTGTACTGCTACTGAGTGTGGTGTACTGCTACTGAGCGTGGTGTACTGCTACTGAGTGTGGTGTACTGCTACTGAGTGTGGTGTACTGCTACCGAGTGTGGTGTACTGCTACTGAGTGTGGTGTACTGGTACTGAGTGTGGTGTACTGGTACTGAGTGTGGTGTACTGCTACCGAGTGTGGTGTACGGATAGTGAGTGTGGTGTACTGCTACCGAGTGTGGTGTACTGCTACTGAGTGTGGTGTACTGCTACTGAGTGTGGTGTACTGCTACTGAGTGTGGTGTACTGGTACTGAGTGTGGTGTACTGCTACTGAGTGTGGTGTACTGGTACTGAGTGTGGTGTACTGGTACTGAGTGTGGTGTACTGCTACCGAGTGTGGTGTACGGATAGTGAGTGTGGTGTACTGCTACCGAGTGTGGTGTACTGCTACTGAGTGTGGTGTACTGCTACTGAGTGTGGTGTACTGGTACTGAGTGTGGTGTACTGGTACTGAGTGTGGTGTACTGGTACTGAGTGTGGTGTACTGGTACTGAGTGTGGTGTACTGCTACCGAGTGTGGTGTACGGATAGTGAGTGTGGTGTACTGCTACCGAGTGTGGTGTACTGCTACTGAGTGTGGTGTACTGCTACTGAGTGTGGTGTACTGCTACCGAGTGTGGTGTACTGGTACTGAGTGTGGTGTACTGGTACTGAGTGTGGTGTACTGCTACCGAGTGTGGTGTACGGATAGTGAGTGTGGTGTACTGCTACCGAGTGTGGTGTACTGCTACCGAGTGTGGTGTACTGCTACTGAGTGTGGTGTACTGCTACTGAGTGTGGTGTACTGGTACTGAGTGTGGTGTACGGATAGTGAGTGTGGTGTACTGCTACTGAGTGTGGTGTACTGCTACTGAGTGTGGTGTACTGGTACTGAGTGTGGTGTACTGGTACTGAGTGTGGTGTACTGGTACTGAGGTGTGGTGTACTGCTACTGAGTGTGGTGTGCACGGATAGTGAGTGTGGTGTACTGCTACCGGAGTGTGGTGTACTGCTACTGAGTGTGGTGTACTGCTACTGAGTGTGTGTGTACTGGTACTTTGAAGGTGTGGTGTACTGGTACTGAGTGTGGTGTACTGGTACTGAGTGTGGTGTACTGGGATAGTGAGTGTGGTGTACTGCTACTGAGTGTGGTGTACTGCTACTGAGTGTGGTGTACTGGTACTGAGTGTGGTGTACTGCTACGAGTGTGGTGTAATACGGGATAGTGAGGTGTGGTGTACTGCTACGAGTGTGGTGTACTGCTACTGAGTGTGGTGTACTGCTACTGAGTGTGGTGTACTGCTACTGAGTGTGGTGTACTGGTACTGAGTGTGGTGTACGGATAGTGAGTGTGGTGTACTGCTACTGAGTGTGGTGTACTGCTACTGAGTGTGGTGTACTGGTACTGAGTGTGGTGTACTGGTACTGAGTGTGGTGTACTGCTACTGAGTGTGGTGTACTGCTACTGAGTGTGGTGTACTGGTACTGAGTGTGGTGTACTGGTACTGAGTGTGGTGTACTGCTACTGAGTGTGGTGTACTGGTACTGAGTGTGGTGTACTGCTACTGAGTGTGGTGTACTGGTACTGAGTGTGGTGTACTGCTACCGAGTGTGGTGTACTGCTACTGAGTGTGGTGTACTGCTACTGAGTGTGGTGTACTGGTACTGAGTGTGGTGTACTGCTACTGAGTGTGGTGTACTGGTACTGAGTGTGGTGTACTGCTACTGAGTGTGGTGTACTGCTACTGAGTGTGGTGTACTGCTACTGAGTGTGGTGTACTGGTACTGAGTGTGGTGTACTGGTACTGAGTGTGGTGTACTGGTACTGAGTGTGGTGTACGGATAGTGAGTGTGGTGTACTGCTACTGAGTGTGGTGTACTGCTACTGAGTGTGGTGTACTGGTACTGAGTGTGGTGTACTGGTACTGAGTGTGGTGTACTGGTACTGAGTGTGGTGTACTGCTACTGAGTGTGGTGTACGGATAGTGAGTGTGGTGTACTGCTACCGAGTGTGTTGTACTGCTACTGAGTGTGGTGTACTGCTACTGAGTGTGGTGTACTGGTACTGAGTGTGGTGTACTGGTACTGAGTGTGCTGTACTGCTACTGAGTGTGGTGTACTGCTACTGAGTGTGGTGTACTGGTACTGAGTGTGGTGTACTGCTACTGAGTGTGGTGTACTGCTACCGAGTGTGGTGTACTGCTACTGTGAAGACTCGTACCGTGGTGATGTCCAGCAGTTCCGAGTCCAGCCTGACCAGAAGCCCCCTGGTGTCACCGTGTGGGATGGATAGGCCGAGGGACTTGGCCAACGCCTTCTGTACCTGCAGCTGGAGACGGGCAACCTGGAACAAGACACGGACAGTTCAGATTGTCATAAAACGAAGCCAAGTGAGTCTAACTACTCAACCCAAAGAAAGTGCTAGCTCCTACAACATGCATGGTGTAATGGGGCTAATTCTTCACCAGAATAATCATGGGCATGGACATTGTTGAATGACAGTGTCAGTAATACTCTACCTCTATCAAAGCCTCTTGTAAGTCAACAAATCTGGAGCTGACAACAACAGATTATTAATGGTTAACAATGGTTGAAAGCATAGTGGCTTGACATGTCTGTCAGCAAACAATGACAAAATGACACAGTTCACATAATTGCAAAACCACCTGAATCTTGTCTTGGGGACCTATTTTGCCCAACCTAAGGCTCACTGATTACAGGGGACCTACATTATCCTATCCATCACAGACCCGGTGGCACAGGAGACCTACCCATCACAGACCCGGTGGCACAGGAGACCTATCCATCATAGACCCAGGGGCACAGGAGACCTACCCATCACAGACCCAGTCCACCTACCCATCACAGACCCAGTGGCACAGGAGACCTACCCATCACAGACCAAGTCCACCTACCCATCACAGACCCAGTGGCACAGGAGACCTACCCATCACAGACCCGGTGGCACAGGAGACCTACCCATCACAGACCCAGTCCACCTACCCATCACAGACCCAGTGGCACAGGAGACCTACCCATCACAGACCCGACCCAAGTGGCACGGAGACCTACCATCACAGACCAAGTCCACCTACCCATCACAGACCCAGTGGCACAGGAGACCTACCCATCACAGACCCGGTGGCACGGGAGACCTACCCATCACAGACCAAGTCCACCTACCCATCACAGACCCGTGGCACAGGAGACCTACCCATCACAGACCCAGTCCACCTACCCATCACAGACCTAGGGGCACAGGAGACCTACCCATCACAGACCCGGTGGCACGGGAGACCTACCCATCACAGACCAAGTCCACCTACCCATCACAGACCCAGTGGCACAGGAGACCTACCCATCACAGACCCGGTGGCACAGGAGACCTACCCATCACAGACCCGGTGGCACGGGAGACCTATCCATCACAGACCCGGTGGCACAGGAGACCTACCCATCACAGACCAAGTCCACCTACCCATCACAGACCCAGTGGCACAGGAGACCTACCCATCACAGACCCGGTGGCACGGGAGACCTATCCATCACAGACCCGGTGGCACAGGAGACCTACCCATCACAGACCCAGTCCACCTACCCATCACAGACCCAGTCCACCTACCCATCACAGACCCAGTGGCACAGGAGACCTACCCATCACAGACCCGGTGGCACAGGAGACCTACCCATCACAGACCCGGTGGCACAGGAGACCTACCCATCACAGACCCGGTGGCACGGGAGACCTATCCATCACAGACCCGGTGGCACAGGTGACCTACCCATCACAGACCCTAGGGGCACAGGAGACCTATCCATCACAGACCCGGTGGCACAGGAGACCTATCCATCACAGACCCAGTGGCACAGGAGACCTATCCATCACAGACCTGGTGGCACAGGAGACCTACCCATCACAGACCCGGTGGCACAGGAGACCTATCCATCACAGACCCGGTGGCACAGGAGACCTACCCATCACAGGCCCGGTGGCACAGGAGACCTATCCATCACAGACCCGGTGGCACAGGAGACCTACCCATCACAGGCCCGGTGGCACAGGAGACCTACCCATCACAGACCCAGTCCACCTACCCATCACAGACCCGGTGGCACAGGAGATCTGTCCAATCAGATACACAAGGATCTTTTGCTTAAAATGATCTCACCTCCATCTTCTCTTCAAGCTCGTGCAAGAATTCTCCCCCAGCGGCAGACATGATCCTAGATGTTGAGCTCTTGGCACACATGATGGCTCGTGAAAGGTACTCGATACGCTGGTGGAGGGGCACATCCATGCTGGGGAAGGAACCAACTCATTAGTCCAATCTGGCACCACAAGGCCTTGTAATGATATACTGACTTACAAACTTTACAAGACTCTTCAGGTATCATGATACACAGCTTGAAGCTTTCATGGAGGAAGGCTTTTTACAATACCTGTTATTCATAATACCTTATACATCAACATAAAAGTTTTAAAGAAACACTTTTTCAGCCAGACTCTTCTCTTTTCCACATGCTTTGACAATATACTGGCATGAGTTTACTACATTCAATCATAGCCATTGTCAAGTTTAAGGGGTAAATTCACTTGTCAGGTGTCATTCTGACATCACCTTACCTGTGTCTCTCTGCCAGTTGGGACAAGATCTTTGCTGCAGCGGGGAAGTTCTGGATCTTCTCATAGTACTTCCACAGCATATCAAGAGCCTCTACATTGCCAGAGTGTAGTTGTGTCTTCCGCTTCAGATATGCCTCCACATATGGGGTCTGGATCTAAACAAGTGAGTGAGTGAGTAAGTGCAGATGGGGATTGCGTGGCGTGGGGTTATTTTGTGAATTTGAGAAATGTGCAGTGTTCTGTACTTTTCGATTGTTGTTTTGAATCAAACATGTGACTGTTGAACCTAGGTTTCATCCTTAGTCACAAATCATTGCAAGAACCTTTCTTCATCAGCTTCAAACAGACCTGGTTTATTACAAGGTATGTTGTGCTTATCTCACGTCACAAGTCCTGGAATGGAATGAGGTGATATTTTCTTCATTGCATAAAGGTTCTGAGATAATAGAGATGTGCTCTCTCCCAGCAAATACCAACTCAACAAGCAAACAGACACTCAGTCATTGCTGGTTGGTCATCTAAATATCAAGTGTGCGAGGGAGTAAGGTTTTACGCTGCTTTTAGCAATATTCCAGCAATATCAATGTGGGGGACACCAGAAATGGGCTTCATACATTGCACCCATGTGGGGAATCGAACCTGGGTCTTTAGCGTGACGAGCGGACACTTTAACCACTAGACTACTCCACTGCCCCCTCAATATCAAGGATTATCTGGATAAAATCAGCTGTTGTTGACATGACAGTCCTTCCAGCACAGTGGTCGTCTTGAAGTCTCTCTTTGCTGTGCTTACAACATACTGCTACAATAGGTGAGTGAGTGAGTGAGTTTAGTTTTATGCCACATTCAGCAATATTTCAGTTTTATGGCGCCGGTCTGTAAATAATCAAGTCTCGACCAGACAATCCAGTGATCAACAGCATGAGCTTCAATCTGCGCAATTGGGAACCGAGACATGTGTTAACCAAGTCAACAATCTGACCACCCGATCCCCTTTGTCGCCTCTTACAACAAGCATGGGTTGCTGAAGATCATTTCTAACCTGGATCTTCATGGGTTGCTACAATAGGAAGAGGTATACTTCCATAGTGTTGTACCGATATCTTCAAGGATAGCTTTTGGTGATAAACAGTTTCCAGCAAGTACTTGATAACAGCATGTTCCTAAAGTTTGTCAATATTCCAAAGACCACGGACTGCACCCAGTTTACTGACTTGACACAGATATAATTTACTCAAGTTTTGGGGGACATAGCTCTAAGACACAATGCATTCTACTTAAAAGACTTCACTTATTAACCTACCTCTAGGAGTTTCTCGGAATTGTTGGTGATGAAGAACCAGTCGTACAGGGACGTGTGGAACAGAGCGTCTTCCGACTTGAGGGCCATCCTCAGGATATCCGTCCTCTGTAGCAGTCACAAATGATAAGGATACAAGTTATCATGAAAGAGAAAATTTGATTAAATGCCAGCAATATCACAGCATATGAAATGACCCGAGTCTCAGGCACGTATTTAATAAGGTTTACTTTTGTTTATTATTGTATCAGGTAAAGAGGAAAAACCACATCCTATTTCTTTGACACGAGCAGCAAACCACTGGTCAGTTTTATCCCCACCTGAGTGAGAGAGAGAGAGAGAAGAGTGTAGTTTTACACCATTTTCAGCAATATCACAACAGGGACACCAGAAATGGGCTTCACACATTGTACCCATGTGAGGAATCAAACCTGGCGCTTTGGGGTGACGAGCGAACACTGCAACCACTAGGCTACCCCACTTCCCCCTCCCCTACCTGGACATTTTGAATACTACTTAATGTTGACTCCTGAGACATACTGTGCCCTGCGATTCTCACATATATTCCACCTGAGACTGATTCTGACTTTTACAGATCCAGGTGTAAGGCTTGTGGCTTTAGTGGCTCTGTATACTCACATATTGGTCTGCCTGTGGCGCGGCGACACGGCTGGGGTCCGGGGCTGGAGGTGGGCCAGGAGACTTGGGTACACTGGGAGCCTGGGGGTGAGATACGCTGGCCGACCACAAGTAGCCCAGGATCTCAGTGATGCACTTGTAGCACTCCAACCTGGAAGACAAACCACATGGCAATTGTGTAGAACCGCAGAACCGGGGATAAGCAATGTGGAGATGCATGCCCAAACTCACAGTTACCTGGAATCATTTGTAGTAGTTATCTCGGGATTGTGACATTTTTTTACCCTTTTCAAAATCAGCTTTTGCAGTCCTTACTGATCATAATGGGAGTGCATTGTAAGTTTTTATATTAGATGCATTCAAACTTTTATTTCACAAAGTAAGTTTGGTCTTTTCTGAGATTTAACTGTTCGGCAATTAAATCATAAAGTGTCAGATTATTGTGGACTTATTATTGTAGACTATTACAAACCTATACCAACCTGTACTGTAGATTACTGCAACCCTACACCTACAGCTACAGATTTACTGCAAACCTGCACCATACGGCAACCCTGCTGTGTGTTTTTGTTTACTACAACCCTACACCCATAGACTTACTGCAACCCTGCTGTGTGCTTTTGTTTACTACAACCCTACACCCATAGACTTACTGCAACCCTGTATCTACTGATGCATATTTACTGTCATCCCACACACACTGCCATATTACTGCAACCCCGCTTTGTAAGATTTTGATTATTGCAACCCTATGTCCACAGCTACGACTCACCTGTGGTAGTAAGCCTGGAATCCCTGGGTGTCTTCAGGTGGCTCCCCGTTCTGATAGAAGTGGGACGCCAGGTCCTGCGGGTCGAGTTTACGAGCCTCCGTCAGACACATCTCAACGATGCCCTCATAGAAGTTGATATTAAATGTAATTTTAGAGTAAAATTGATATTTTATACTTATCCTGACTCATGCTCTTTGCTTGTCTTCTTCTTCTTGCTAACATAGTGGAACACTTGTATCTCCTTATTTGAAGCCCTTCAAAATAAAATCACTAATTGGTACTCACCACGAAGTTGCTCCCTTTGTCTCCCCTGGCGGAAAGGTGTCGCCACCCTCTGGCCATGTGCTCCACTCTCTCCTGATTTAGCGAGCCCAACACTTGAATTTACAGGGAAATCCAAAGTGTTATGTGGGGAGGATGGAGGGAGTTAACTCATGAGTCAGGATAAGTATAAAATATCAATTTTACTCTAAAAATTACATATTTTTCCTTATCCTGACTCATGCTCTTTGTTTGTAGCATCCTACGGAACGGAGGTGGGTAACAGAATACTTTGGATTTATAATTAGTGATTTTGTATAGATATACTGTAATATCTCCCTACGGAACTTCATGAAGGCTTAGATTTAGGATGTTTCCTGTATAAAGAAAACCATAGGTTATATAAAGCCATTAAAGGGGAATTACATTATGAATATATTGAACAATACATATAAATTATATATATATATATAGGTGACTCTGATAGAGGCACTGAAATTGACTATACTCCAAGTATATGCTTAAGGTTGAATACTTAAGCTGAACATATATACATAGCCCTAAAACTCCGTGAGAGTTATAAGCTAGATGAGTATGTATAAAATACATATTAATCTTGTGAGGATAATATTTTAACGCCTACGCAGGGACTGTCAGTTGCTGAGCGAGGACCAGTGGTCCGGAATGGTGAATGCCAGAGACATCTTCTGTAGTGATGTCTCTTAGGTAGTGATTAGCAAATACCATGTTAGATTTCCAATAGCATCCTTCCATAATCGTGTTCAAGGAACAGTTACCGTAGGGCGAGGGTAGAGGCCAGTGCCCTGATCTCATGTGGATTTGATGCTGTTGGTGGGTCCAAGCCTGCTGCCTTGTAGGCACGGAGAATGACAGTCCTTATCCAAATAGATATTGTGGTCCGTGACACTTCTGTTTGATTCGTGAGGCTTATAAGGGATGAATAAACGCTTGAGAAATCTTCTCCTTGTTTTGGATCGTCAGAATAAACTTTGAGCCTTACCGACACAGTGATAGGTCTTGTGTATCTTGTGATCCGAGAATAGAGGATAGCCGGATGTGGAATAATCTGTCTGGTTGACCTGGCAGTTGATTTTTGCGATGAAATCCCATCTTAACCGAGGTGCGCCAAAAGTTATGATTGTCATCAAACTGTATCCTCTCGTAATCCAGAGCTGAAATTTCAGACATTCTTGCTGCTGTGGCTAGCTTATAGCAGAAACAGTGTTTTCTGTGAGAGAAATTCAAAGTTTGTCGATTCCAAAGGTTCATAGACCTCACTCGTGAGGTGTTGTAACACTACATTCAGATCCCAAGCTGGGGCGTGGAACTTCCGCTTTGGTCCTCCAATCGAAAGCTCGTAGTAAGGCCAGTAACTCTGGAGATCTTGTCAATTTGACACCCGCTCTCATGGTGATTACAGAACTAAGCCGCAAGATATGTTGATATCGCTGAACCTTTTAAATGTTTGTTTTGGCGAGGTAACACAAATAGTCTGCCACTTGAGGTCAGGAAGCCTCTTGCTGTAAACCCTTTCTTTGTTGCATAATTTTCAAACTGTGCCACTTGTCGCCGCATTGCTACGAAGTTGAGTAACGTAAGGCAAGCGCGACTGCTTTTGCCGCTCTGGCAGAATATCCTCTTGTTTAAACACATTTGTATACAGTCCATACGTAGTTGGAACATTGCTGGGTTTCGCGCACTTGTTTGGTGTGAGGATGAATTAACAGGTTTGGCGCCACTTGGGTAGCTCCAGTGTTGGTTGACCGATTTCTTGAATTAGTATGGGAAACCACGCTCTGGCCGCCAGTAGGGCGCACCAAAGTGAGTTGTAGGCTCTGTGTTTGTCTGATTTTCTGTAATACTTGAGGTATTATTGCTGGCGGCGGAAACGCTGCGACGCATTGAGGCCTTCCCATGATAGACTTAGAGCGTCCGCTGCCCAAGCTTGGGGTCTGGGACTGGTGACACGTAATGTCGGTAGCTGATTGTTGAATCGCGCGGCTTAATAGGTCTATTAGCTAGGCCCTAATTGCTTGATTATCTGTGCAAAAATTTCCCTGTTGATCATCCACTCTGTCGGTGATGGTAGATGAGGCCGAGAGAGAGCCGCCTGCTAGTATATTTCTGGCCCGGAATGTGCACTGCTCTGACATGTAGATTTAGATCTTGTATTAAATCAACAGTTGAAAGCTTAGGTTCAAAAGGTTCATCGATCTCGCTGAGCCTTGCTTGTTTATGTAGAACGCCACTGTCGAATTGTCTGTATGGATCATTAGGCGCCGCATTTTGTAGAAATGTGCTCCAATGTAGAATGGCGCTGATTACAGCTTTCATTTCTAGACTGTTTATATGGAGTTTGCATTCTTGCTGATTCCATAACCCTGATATCGCGGTGGTTGGTGAGATGAGCTCCCCAACCTTGGAGTGACGCTGCCTACATACAGATGGGTTTTGTATTCCTGCTCTGCTAAACAAATCCTTCGCAGACATTCGATTTCTTGGTCCACCATAGTAGATGTGGTCTGAGATGTTTCGTAGACTGAATGGTTGTACATCGCTGAGATGTGCGCTGATGAGGACCTGTAGGGGACGAACTGTAATCTGCCTGTGACAGTCATGTCTTGGGCTGATGTGAAAGACCTAGTAGGCTCTGCCATTGTCGCAGTGGTAACGGAGAGAGTAGAGCTGGTGGAATGGTCTGTTGTATCTTGAGCCAACGGTCTTCTGGTACCATAATACGGTTATGATTTGTGATGAATCGAATACCTAGGAACTGCAGGTCTTCGCGATGGTACTAGGTCCGACTTGCGTAAGTTTACTAACCAACCTAGTTGTGTTAGTAGCTTTATGATGTAATTTAACTGTAGTTTGAGACGAAAGTGGATCTTGATCTACTTGTATCCCGGTCAAGGTAAAACGCCACTGGTAGGCCCTTGACGATGTAGAAATTTGATAACGGTTTCGCTATCCTCGCGGAATAGCCAGGGGCTGATGATATTCGAATGGGAGTACTTTCCACTGGTAATGTAGCCCTTCTAGAGTAAATCGTAGGTATTTCCTGGAATCGGGATGAATGGGGATGTGCAGGTAGGCATCCTGTAGATCTATGCTGCCCATGTAGTCCATAGGATCTAATCATCTGGCGTAACTGAGGTAAATGTATCATGCTTAAACTTCGTGGTTTATGTAGATAGTTCTTGCTGAAAAAGCTCATGTTGTAGATGAGTCTGTATTTCTCCGCGTGGAGTTTTTCTTGGGAACCAGGAAAACTGGGGAGTAGAAACCTGGTCTCGACGCTTGCTTGATCTATTACTTCTATGGCCTGTTTGGATAGGAGTGATGAAACAGCCTCTTTATCTTTGGTAGTTGTTGCTTTGTAAATCGAACTTGGGGGGTTTGATTGTCAGCAGAGGCTTGGCCTGTAGAGGATACCGAAATCCGGTTGAAGAATGTTGGAGACGAAGGGTCTTGCAATATTCCCCAGTTTTCCCAGTGTAGTTGGAGGCGCCCACCCACTTGAGCTGGTTGTACTGGAACGGCTGGGGTGGAAGACTCCAGTCGTTCAACCTGTGTTTCAGCTGCCTATAATTGCGGAACCTCTGGGTGTCCTGCCTCTTCCTGATCCTCCTCTATAGTTGCCATATGGGCTTACCTAAAAGAATCTTTACCTCTAGAGCTGGCTATCTTCCTGTCTCTTGCTCTTTGTAGGCCCGTGAACTTAGATCTGCCTGAGTATCTTTGTGAAGTCTCGACTTAATGACGCTGGCTAGTGTGTCCATCGATCTAATCATAAGGACTTCCTGGAATCCTTAGAGACTTCCTTTGGCTTACTTTGTCGATTTCTCCGCCAAAGATGGATGTTGTCGCACCACGGGCTGTATAAAGTGGGCTGTAAAGTTCTCCCCAATTACAGGAGGCTTAGGAGGCCTTGACGACGAAGCTAAGGTCAGTGCTGCTGAAACAGATGTAAGATGATCCGCTAAAAACTGCTGATCTTTCTTTGCATAAGTAAGGGCAGAATAAATCATTCTATCATCTTCCGTCGTGGAATCCCGAATCTAGTAATAAGAGTCTCATTGATCGTCCCTAGATCTATTTAACCCAAAGAACATACGCCTCGCCATGGTTTCTATATGAGCCAACCTTGCATCATCCATCTTGTAAATCTTGTTCTTTACATCGCTGATGATCTTATAGTTCTCATCGATGTCCTGGGCCTTGTAGAAGGAGTCCATGTTATGCGCGTGAGAACTTCTTGGCTTGAAAGTTGGGCAGATGTGGTATCTGAACTTTCGTAGCTTTCTGGAAAGCTGCATCTAGATTCTGTGGCACTGCCGCAATCGGGTCGATCGGGGTAGAGTGATTGCATCTGGATCATCTTCCTTCATCAAATACGCCTGAGCTGTATTGCCACTTTTAGATGGTGATGTGAGATCTAGGTTATTGACCATCCAATACCGTGATTCTGCATCAGAAAATATGATTCCTCCATCATCCTCAAAACCATCATCATTAACAAATTGTAGATGCTCTTCGACCGCGGTAGCTGTCTGTATATCTGATGAGGTTTGTATGCATCTAGTTGACTTGTGCTTCTATGTGGAGATCTGACGGGTGATCGAATCTGGTGATGAACGAAGTGGAGATCGCCTATGGGATGATCTTCTCGAGACTTGTGAGGTGAATGTTGATAGCTTCGCTTCTCTTCGGCAGTCCCTCGATGTTCTTCTAGATGATGAAGATCTGGAATCATATGTCCTTCGCTAATGCCTTCGAAGCTTCATTTGCGTCCGTCCGGGATCGATGATATGACCTTCGCGAAGGCTTCCGCGATGTCTGATGGTCTGAGTCCATATCTAGAGATGAAATCGAAGATGGTGATGATCTCCCCGCTAAGGCCTTCGCCAAGGCTGTACATCTAGGTCCTTCGTCAAGGTGGTGCGGACTTCCTTCGCGAAGGTGACATCGCCTTTGGCTGCTACGCTGACGGGGGGTGCCTCTGGGGTGTTGTTCACGCTGGAGCCTTCGCTTGTTCGACCTGCTTGCGCGAGTTTGTAGTGGTCCTCCATGATGTTCATAATCTGCCGCATCATGTCTTCTGGGATGATCTCAGACGAAGTCGCCGGGCGCTTTTCTGCGATGGGGTTCACATCAATGACGCCTGACGCCGGTGTAGAGGCATCAGGCTGCATGGTGATCTCTGCAGAAGTCACAGTCGCTGACACCGGCCGCTTCTTCTGCCGTAAGTCGGGATGATTATCGGCTGATCATCGTGAGGCCCAACTCTGCTGCTGGAACGATCTCGGCTGAGAAAGTTCTTGCTGTCTTCGTGAGATTTCCTTTGAAGTCTGCGCTGCCCTGGGTGTCCTCAATCTGCGCTTGAGACGACGATGAGGCCCTCTTAGACTTGGTCTGCAATGACGGGATGTCTGGGGAGGCCGGTCGCTTCTTCGAGGTAACGGATCATGCCCCCACGCCTCTGCCGCAGGGGTCTCTAGCAGAACACCAGACGGGAGAGGGTCGATCGCTAGCAGCTGACTGGATGGAATATCTGGACTCTCTGCCATGTTTTGCCCTTTGTTTGCGTGGATCTATCTGCAGCACGCCTTAAGACGCAAAGATGATATTTATTAAATGCAGAATGAGATAAATTAATGCAGTAACTGCAACGTGAATTAAACGCACACGGCGCGAGAACAACAACTAGGGCATATTACATGTGGATCGGAGGCAGAAAAACGTAATCTACAAATCGCATAGATTTTCATCAACGTAGTTAGCTGAACAATCACTTAATACACGGAATAAACAGTAGAAATACGATAATTAATCAATACAAATAGTAAAGGATACTAGCTATACCTCTATAGTAACCTATGAGAGGTAAAAACTAAGAGATTATCAAAGGATATGTGTGTAAGGAGACACAAGGCGCTCTCACATCCTGCTCACTGGGCGAAGAAGGAGAGAGTGGAGCACATGGCCAGAGGGTGGCGACACCTTTCCCGCCAGGGGAGACAAAGGGGAGCAACTCGTGGTGAGTACCAATTAGTGATTTTATTTTGAAGGGAGCTTCAAATAAGGAGATACAAGTGTTCCACTATGTTCGCAAGAAGAAGAAGACAAGCAAAAGAGCATGAGTCAGGATAAGGAAAAATGACAGTGAGTAAGTGAGATTGGTTTAATGAAGCTTTCACCAGTTTTCAAGTTTTATGAGCTTCATGTTTGGAGGAAGATCAAACTGATGCAGGTTTCTGACTGTCGCCATTTCGGTGAAACCGATGAGTAGAGGCATGGTCCTGATAAAACAAGGAACGAAATCACTCCGAACTGGCATCTGAACCCACAATCAACTAGTGGTGGTCCTATTAATTGAAATAATTGAAGATTGGTCGCAGTGACTAAACGACCAAGCAATCGATCATGTTTCCACATAATCGAACACAAACAATTCTAGAACACTTGTTTTCATTAACAGTATTTTTCACTAGGTTGGTTTTGTCTGTTACATTTCATAAGCACTACAAGCTCGTTCCAAGTCATGACTGAATTTATCTTAAAGACTCTAAGAAATTTATGTTCCTCCATACTAGTCATCCTTTAAACGTGAAATTTTGCCAAAACAACCCAAAGAACTACATGTTTTTTTCCTTATTTTTTGTGTGCATTAAAACTTTCATAAATGACGCTAACCAATTATTTTCGATGATTGATCGGTTGTAATGAACCAATCATCAATTATGAGATTTTAACCAATTCCCAACACTACAATCAACAGATTCTTGTATGCCCAGTGGATGCAACCATACCCATTGAATTGTTTGTCTTTCACTACTAAGTTGCATGTGCCAGTTAACAAGAAATCAAGTAGAACATCTTGTTAGGAGGCCCCTAGAATAATATTTGAGGAAGAGTGAGTGAGTGAGTTTAGTTTTACGCCGTTTTTAGCAATATTCCAGTGATATCACGGCAGGGGACACCAGAAATGGACTTCACACATTGTACCCATGTGGGGAATCGAACCCGGATGATCGGCATGACGGGTGAACACTTTAACCACAGACAAGGTTACCCCATCGCCCCCTATTAGAGGAAGGAAAGCAGCCAAATATTCCTGTAACCTTCAAAGACATCCATGTGATTCATATTAATTTATTATACATAGGGCAAGATCAAGGCAGACAGGGAAATGCCTTAATAACGAATACAAAGGATGTATACCATTTCAGCTGACATTAGTGGGTTTTCATGCAGTTTTTACCATTATTCAAGCAATATCACAACATAGGACAACATGAATGGGCTTGACATACAGAAAATGTGTACGTGTTCATTAATTTCTCAAGAGCTAACACAACAGCAATGAACATCGTAGAAGATTTGGTTTGTTGTTTTATGCTGCACTCAGCAATATTCCAGCTATGTAGCAGTGGTCTGTAAATGATTGAACTATGAGAGTTATTCCCACCTTGGTGAGGCCGGATGCGATGACGTGGAACTGGTGATCAAACAGGACCTTCCACAGCCCCAGGACCTCCTCCACACGGTGCAGCATGTCCTGGATGTGCTGGAGGGAGATCTTCTCCTGTCTCTGGGCCTCCGCTGGACACGGGACATATTCACATTGTTAACAATAGAAGCAGCTGGAGCTTTCTGCTGTATGTGGGAAGCATGTCTGTCTATTGCATAATACCTAACTCCAGCAATGTTCCAGCCATATGACAGCAGTCTGTACATATTGCAGTCTGGACGTTCCAGTCATTGGAAGTTTGAACAACGATCTACATTGTGGTCACAAAAGTCACCCAGTCTGACCGCTGGACCAACATAGGCCTAAGAGTTCTGATAATGTACACCAAAGTCACCCAGTCTGACCACTGGACCAACCAAGGCCTAAGAGTTCTTATAATGTACAGTAAACAATAATAATTTTCATCTTTTAAATTTTCCTTGGAGCTTTATATTCAGTGAGTAAACAAGTGAACAAACAACATCAGATCCTGCTATGTCCAGGGGATATAACTCTGCAGTAAATGGCATGGGATATATAAAGTGGTCACCTCATGTTTCAAACACATGAAAATGTTTTGAAATCAAAGGCAAAGCAGCTGTCGCTACCTTGTAGTTTCTTTTTGTCTGCTCATCCAGTGGCCCCACCATACGGACTGAACTGCATCATCGGCATCATGCTGCCAACAAACATCACAGGTTGCCAAACAGTGGTACTGTGTAGCACTATGGCAAATCCAGTGCCTGAAACTCACCAGACTAAGCTGACAGTCTTAAATGCCAGCTCATTTAAAACACTGTAGGCCCTGAGGAAAAAATTGTAGGCCCAAAACATTTTAGCTGATGAGACATACTCTTGCTATATTAATTGCAAAACACAAACACATCACGAAAAATGGCCTTAGAAAATCTGGGGACGAACAGACAAGGTGAGGTGAGGTGAAATTGGGTTTAACGTCGTGCTTGAGAATATTTCGCTCATATGACGATGTGAACAGACAAGGCGTACTGGTTACAGGAAATACTATTTACAAGCTCTATAGCAGTACAGTAATGGTATCAACAGCAAGAAATGTAACACCTACATAAACTGCTCTCATAACTCTTCTCTACTATGCACCTCAAAGTTTCTACTAAGTATGACTAATTTATGAGCGGGATACTTTTGAAGGTGGACCCGAATTTACAAAGCAATAGCAGTGTTATGAGTCATTCACCATGTTTACTGCTTAAAACAAACACAAGGGCTGGCAGAAATCTAAAACTATAAGCCTGAGATTGTTTGAGTAGACCCTGAATCACCACATATCTACTAAGATCCATAACTAACTACAGGACCACCTCCTTATCTACTGGACCTCATTCCTATTCACAAGACCATCTACCGGGCCACCTGTCTATCTACTGGACCCCCTATCTACCGGGCCACCTGTCTATCTACTGGACCCCTTATCTACAGGACCATCCACCTACCAACTGGATCCCCTATCCACAGGACCACCCACCTACCAACTGGATCCCCTATCCACAAGACCATCCACCTACCAACTGGATCCCCTATCCACAGGAACATCCACAGGAACATCCACCTACCAACTGGATCCCCTATCCACAAGACCATCCACCTACCAACTGGATCCCCTATCCACAGGAACACCCACCTATCCACTGGACCCTTACTTCTCTACCAGGCCACCTGCCTATCTACAGGACCACTTACCTATCTACTGGGCCACCCGAGTCAAACCTGGAGTTGAAGTCCATAAAGTCGAGGAGGTCCCGCACCAGCTCCAGGGTGGTGGTGATGTTGTCGCTGCTGTAGCTGCTAGTCAGCTGCATCCACAACACAGTTGATTGGTACGATTCTTCCAATACGTGATAATTACACAAACTACTTGGGCTGTCATATATTCCACAAGCACAAGTACATTGTGATGCTTTGTTCTTCACAGAGTATGAGAGCATAAAACAGTTGTTTTTTTCATTCAAGAACTTTCCATAAAGTTATAAACTGTGGAATCAATGATGGCTCACTTTACGTGCTGGCGATCAGGTGCCTGACACTGAGAGTGCGGGTTCGAATCCCGAAATGGGACTGAACCCTACACACTGATATGTATCTAGTCAGAAAGTGTGATCCCAATTATAACCCGAGTTACAGTTTACATGGCAGTGTGATTCTCTTGAGTAGTGGCTGCAGGAACTAAACACATTAGAGAAGATTATTATGGTCGTGTTCTAAAATGACTGTTTACACATGTCAAAAGAATAGATAGTAAATGTTGTGAAACCACTTACATAAGTGACCATTCCTTGAGGTGTCTGACAGGGAAACTCCGTCGTTACCTGTGAATCCCAAAAGGGCCTGCAACAGTGTACAACATGCTCAACATCCATCTTGGTATTTTCAGATCATATGACTATCACCATTTTTATGTCAAATTACAAACATGCACTAGCCATATTACAACCAATTTTACCTTTGAAATTCCTCAACAGAGGTTATCAAATAACAATATACCCCCTCTGAATGAAACAGTTGACAATGACACCATCATTTTAGCTAATATTCACAGAATGGTACTTCTCTTTCTCTTATTGTCTGTAGGGGTATTTAATAATTATATGCACAATTACGGGTCACAAAATGCAAAGCTGTGGATACTATTATACACAAAGGATGAGCGGCAATATATATTGTGTAGAAAACATGACTGAACACTGTGTAACTAATAGTATTCCATACTTCCAGACTTCCATACCTGAGTATTCTGCTGAGGTAAATACAGATGCCGTTATGTTTGCCGGAGTAAATGACTTCCTGGGAGTGGCTGCCAAGGGAGGTAAGTCCTGGTTGGTAGAAGGACTGCTGGAAGCTGTGTGGAGCTGGTGTGGACATGTGGGCGGGCTGCATACCTGCGTACATCCTCACATAGATTAGCTCACAAGGATGGGGGTCAAATACCATCATATCTCTCTAAGAAAAACACCTATCAATATACACTTTGTGCCAGTGATTTATATTAATACAGATATCATGTTGTTATCGAGCTGATTCTATTATAACTGACTTGATCATTTACACTGGGATGAAGACTGCAATTGATACACTAAATCTGGTTAGGTGTAAGTCTTAAAGTTGGGAACAGTCTACTCTTTTGAATTTCTTAAGAGCCAGCACAATCTCTTCAATAACAAGCTGCATCTCAGATCACTGTGCCCAAAACACGAACTGTAATGTGTGGTGACAGATGCATCAAGATAGCAGCAACACTGTGGAATGGCCTACGATCTACCCTGAGAAAGTCAGCTTCTTATGACATTTTTAAGGAGGGCGTAAAAACTCATCTCTTTAAATTGTCCTCCACTCAGTAGCATTTGTGACCCTTTCTGTGAAACGCCTTAGAGTGTTCTATTTCTAAATCATATAGGGCGCAATACAAATTTTGTATATTGTTATAATTATCATCATTATTATTATTAAATAACTTCCAAAATGTCAGTCATGTCAGCTTAATAACAAATTAATTGTATGTTCAGGTACAAAAAATGAAAAACAAATGTGTGCTGTGAAACACCAATTTTGTAACAAAGACACAGTTTTGTGTCAATAATCTGGACTGGAATAATCTCCAGTTAAAGTTCACAAGATCACAACTTTGATATATCCACATCCCTGAATTGTTTTGTTTGTTTGTTTGTTTGTTTGTTACTACATGTAGATGGTGGTGCATACATAGTTCGGTCTGGACCAGATCACGTAATCAACGTCACAGGTATCAGTCAAGGCAACTGGGATACAATGACAAGCATCCACCAAGTCGGCAATCCTGACCTTCTGATTCCATCGTTCAAATCTTGGAAGAGTGATTAACATTAGTGACAGAACGGTCAGTACTACTACAAAGAAGCTGACAAAACACCACAGTTACAATGGTGACAACGGCGCCTGACCAGAGTGCTACAACCACCAACAGAAACCAGACAAACATATCACACAGATACAAGTGACTGTTATCAAGCTGTGTCATTAAACTCCATGGTAAACATATCTACAGTCTAGGGAGAAGGATTAATTAAATAATGAATGAAATGTTAACTCTACAACTTAATCTTAAAAATATATTCGTGGCTGTTTCAAAATCAGTCCATGCAACTTTAAGCTGAAACAGTGTACAGAGGATACTTTACTAAGTCAAGTCAAAAAACAAATATCAAAAAGTGAAAAACTAAAACTAGTAAAATAACATAAAACATATTAATAATAAAGATCTCACAACAAAATCATACTTCAAATAAAAAGCAGACATACAAAAGAAAACAGCAATCATCCGAAAAGAAAGAAGAGAATGCAACTAAAATGAAACAGCTTAGTAAATGTTAGTACAAGAAAACAAGGTCAGAGCTGTGTTAAAGGGGGGTAACTCTGTCTCACCTGGCATAGGGTTTGGCGAAGGAGGCAAACTGGTCCCATGGGAAGTGGGGCTGTAGATTACAGTGCTGCTGAGTGAGGCAGGCACTGACCCCATAGGACCTGAGAACAAAGCAGGGGAGGTGAGCGTACACACAAAGGGTGTTAGTATTACCTCCCTTGCGCTACTGCTGTGGAAAGTTTTGCAATCACGACGGATACTTCTTAACCTTTACAGGATATATATCACTCAAACAAAGTAAGGGATGACTGATTCTGATGTGAGAGAATCTGGTGTTCCTTAACTCTTTTCAAGTAGTTTAGGAAGTGACTACTCTACATGGTTAAAATAATGGTAATTCATCACATTAAAAATGTAATTTTTGGAGTAAAATTGATATTTTATACTTATCCTGACTCATGCTCTTTTTGCTTGTCTTCTTCTTCTTGCGAACATAGTGGAACACTTGTATCTCCCTAATTGAAGCTCCCTTCAATTTAAAATCACTAATTAGTATTCACCACGAGTTACCTCCTTTCCACAAGCCCGGGAACGAGGGCGCCACCTCTACCCATGTGCCTCACGCTCTCCTCATATACTGAGCCCAACATTTGAATTTACAGGGAAATCCAAAGTGTTATTTGGGGAGGATGGGAGGGCTGACCTCATGAGTCAGGATAAGTATAAAATATCAATTTTACTCCAAAAATACATATTTTTCCTTATCCTGACTCATGCTCTTTTGTTTGTAGCATCCTACGAACGGAGGTGGGAATATCTAATACTTTGGATTTTTAATAATTGAGTGATTTGAACTGTGATGATTGTAATAACCCTATGGGAACTTCATAAAGGCACTGAACTGATGAATCCTGCTGTTAACTTATCAGCTGCCATATAAAAAGGTTATTACCATGTACTTATTATGATAAAGTATATATAACATTAATACAATGCTTAAGACTAATAGACTTAAGCTTGTTAATATGCTAGTATAAACTCCTTAGAGTTTGTTAGCTAAAATACTTTAAGATATAACATAGTACTAAGCTTAAGATATGATTAAACTTAAGCTAATTATATAATAGCAAACTCTTTAGAGTTTGTTAGTTAATATACTTATATGATATAGATATAATGCTGAGCTTAAGATATGAATAAGCTTTTAGCTACATATATAATAGCAAAAAACTCTATGTAGAGTTTGTTAGCTAATATATTTTTATAATATGAGTATAGTACTGTGCTTAAGCTATAATTAACTTAAGCTACATATATATAATAGCCAAACTCTGTAGAGTTTGTTAGCTAATATATTTTTATAATATGAGTATAGTACTGTGCTTAAGCTATAATTAACTTAAGCTACATATATATATAGCCAAACTCTGTAGAGTTTGTTAGCTAATATATATTTATAATATTAGTATAGTACTGAGCTTAAGATATAATTAACTTAAGCTACATATATATAAAAAAACTCTGTAGGGTTTTGTTAGCTAATATATTTTTTACAATATGAGTATAGTAGTGTGCTTAAGATATAATTAACTTAAGCTACATATATAATAGCAAAACTCCGTAGAGTTTGTTAGCTAATATATTTTACAATATGAGTATAGTAGTGTGCTTAAGATATAATGAACTTAAGCTACATATATAATAGCAAAACTCGTAGAGAGTTTGTTAGCTAATATATTTTACAATATGAGTATAGTATTGTGCTTAAGATATTATTAACTTAAGTTACATATATAATAGCCAAAAACTCTGTAGAGTTTATTAGCTAATATGTTTATATAAAGTGTAACCATAGTACTAAGCTTAAGATAAGATTAGACTTAAGCTAAATGTATATAGCAAAATAAACTCCTTAGAGTTTATTAACTAATATACTTTTTATGTTAAAAACATAGTACTGAGCTTAAGTTATGATGAAACTTAAGCTATATATGTATAATAACAAAACTCAAGCTGGGTTTTGTTAGCTAATACCTTTATAATGTAAAACATACTGCTTAAGATATGATGAAAACTTAAGCTAATTGTATATAGCTTAAAACAACCCTTTAGAGTTTGTTAGCTATGATATAAACCTAGTATTGAGCTTATGAAGGAAAACTTAAGCTACATATATAATAGCAAGAACTCAGAGTTTGTTAGCTAATACATGTTATAATGTAACCATAAAGCTTAAAATATGATGAAACTTAAAGCGAAATATATAATAGCAAAACCCTCTTTAGAGTTTTGATAGCTAATATACCTATATGATATAAACATAGTACTAGCGCTTTAAGATATGAATAAGCTTAAGTTTACATATATAATAGCTAAAACTCTGTAGAGTTTGTTAGCTAATACATGTTATAATATAACCATATTGCTTAGAAATATGATGATACTTAAGCCAAATAGCAAAAAACTCTTTAGAGTTTGTTAGCTAATCTACTTATGTGATATAAACATAGTACTAAGCTTAAGATATGAATAAGCTTAAGCTACCTATATAATAGCAAAACTCCTTAGAGTTTGTTAGCCAATATATTTTAATAATATGAGTATAGTACTATGCTTAAGGTATAATTAGCTTAAGTTACCTATATAATAGTAAAACTCCGTGAGTTTGTTAGCTTAATTAACTTAAGCTATGTATAAAAATAAAAAACTCTGTAGAGTTTGTTAGCTAATGCATTTATCATGTAACCATAGTATTACTCTTAAGATATGAATAACTTAAGGTAAATATATATAATAACAAACTCTGTAGAGTTGTTAACTTATATATTGTATGATGTAATAATCATAGTACTGTGATGATAAAAGGAACTTAAGTAAATTATATATAGCATGAAGCTATTTAGTATTGTTATAAGATAAGTAAAAAATCTGTTAGATTGACTTATCTTCTCGAGGAACTGTCAGCTGTTGTCTTTGAGGGACCATGGGATCGAGGTGGTGTATACCTGAGACGCCCTCGGTGGTGATATCTCTCAGATAATGGTTTGCAACCACCATATCGAGTTTCCAGAAATAAACCCTCCATTATTTCAATCACATTTGTGTAGAACAATTGTAGAAGTTAAGCTATAATATCATGAGTATTAAGCTCATGGAGGGTCGGAATAGGTCCATCCGCGCATATGCACGTAGTATGACAGTTCTGATCCAAATGGAGATATAGTACATGAGACTTCACTCTAAGCGTGTTGATGATAGAGGAAATAATCTGTTGCATTTTTCCTCCTGTTTTAGTTTAAGTGGAGATAAATTTACAGTGCTCTTGCTGGCCATCTTGATAGAATCATCGTATCATGGGGTCCAAGTATGTCATCCAGGCGTGTTCATAAACCTCACTTGTGTGAGGTGTTGGAGCACTATATTCATATCCCCAGGTTTATGCGTGAAATTTCGCTTTATTCTCCAAACAGAAGTTTAGTAGGTTTACTAACCATCTAGTTGTGTTAGTCGCTTGATGAAATTCAGCTGTAGTCTGAAACGCTGTGGATTTAGATCCACTTGTATCTGTCGTCTAGGTAATTCGCCGCGAAGTCCTTGACGATGTAGGCGCATGCACAACCAGGTGTGTCTGTCCTCGTTGAACTTTATATGTAAAATCGCCTGACTGCCGATCCCTCGCCTTAACTTGACAGGAGGTCTCTAACTGAAGAAAGGCAGTCTAATCATGAATGTTCAGGTTAACTGGACTGTAATGAGGCTTGCTCGCTCACTGATATATAGTTGTCACTTGTGGCGTAAGTCTTGAACTGTGAATAGAGATCGACCTCTGTGTAGGTCGTTGTTCCTCAGCGGTCCAACTCAGAACAAGGCATTTTGATTCTGTATATATGCCGCTGTGATGCACCGGTGTAGCGGAAAAACCCACCTTGAATAAATTCTTGTCGTCGCTGATATTAGCATAAACGCCGGTCTTCACCGTAACTTCCGGTTATCCGAGTGACCACGGTTTCGAGGGTTAATGGTAACCGCTGAAACCTCCGGCGCGAAATATCTCGCCATCTGTAATTTTATGCTGGGTAGGTTATTTTCCTGGTTGTCGTGAAAAGTAATTTCAGTTTTGAATATAATTCCGACTTCCTTATATATAAGGGTATAAACAACTTGCAAGTTGTGAGCTTGTAGACTGTATACATGAATGTATCGTCATAATTGTAGAATTAGCGTTGAACTTGTTGTACATATTTCTTCTCAGAAACTTTGGCGATTAAGAGTTATACTTTCGCTGTAACAAGGCTGCTGTTCAATTTCGATATTGAATTGTCTGCAGATATGTAATGGTCAACGCATGTAGATAATCGTATCGTCGTCCGGGATTGTATATTAGCAATTTATCACGTGGAATAGTTGATTTCTGTGAAGATCTATGAAATGTCGTTGACTAATAATACAGCGACGTTCTGTGTTGTAAATAGCCTGAGCAATTATCTTCGCGTAGGCTTTATAGATCGGCATCTGGCATACAGTTGATAATCAACTTATGCGGCGCCTTGAAACGGACTGACGAAAGTAGCTATATATGACGAAAGTGGCTAGTATATGGAAACCTTGGAGGAGACTTCCTCGGTGAACGCCGGAGACTTCGAAGTTCTCGGTATCCCTTCTAGATCTTCTGGGTGAAGTAGACTTGAGTTACACTTAGCCTTCAGCGACCATCGCGGAGGTGTCGTCAAAACCCGATTAGTATATATATATATATATAAATATATATATGAGCACTTGCCGTGAACAGCCTCTGTGTTTAACAGGATGTGGATCGGCTAGTTTTCGCTTGCCTAAAATCGGGCGCATGGATCATCTTATCATATTCAGAAGTCGTGTTACTGAAGTCTGGTGATAAGTGTCTAATTGATCGTTCTAGAAATCTATTTAGGCCAGCTTGAACATACGTCCTCATCATGGATTCAACAGAACCAATATACGATTGTAGTTCTTATACTTGATATCGATGATCAACTTGTCTATGGGTTGATCTTCTCCGGAGACTTGTTGAGGGCGTTGATAGTTTCGCTGGCTCTTGTATAGTCCCTCGATGTCCTTCTAGATGATGATGATCTGGATTCAGGTGTCCTTCGCATGCCTTCTCGCGAAGCTTCCTCTGCGTCCGGTCCGGGGAACGACGATATGACCTTTCGCGAAGGCTTCCTGATGTCTGATGGTCCGAGTCCACATCTAGGGATGAAACCGCATAAGGTGATGATTCATCTGCCTTCGCCGAAGTCCTTCGCGAAGGCTGTACATCTAGGTTCTTTCCGCCGGGCTGTACATCTAGGTTCTTTCCGCCAGTTGGGCTGTACATCTAGGTCCTTCCGCCGCCAAGGCTGTACATCTAGGTCCTTCGTCCAAGGTGGTCCGTGACTTCCTTCGAAGGTGACATCGCCCCGGCTGCTACGCTGACGGGGGTGCCTCTGGGGTGCTGTCTACGCTGGAGCCTTCGCTAAGGCTCGGACCCTGCTACCGCGAGATATTGGTCCTCCATGATGTTCATAATTTGTCGCTATCATGTCTTCTGGGATGGTCTGCTAATGACGAGGTCAAGTCGGTGCTTTATCTGCGGTGTTAATGGAGGGTCCACGGAAAATCGTCCCCGACATCAGTGTAGAGGCATCAGGCTGCATGGTGATCTCTGCTGATGTCGTTGTAGCCAATCACCGGTCGTTTCTTGTGTAGCGTGCATTAGCCGATGATGATCAGCTGATCATCGTAGAGGTCCAGGTCATCGGCTGGAACAATCTCGCTGGAGAAAGTCCTAGTAGACTTCGTTGATTTTCCCTCAGAGGTCGGCGCTGCCCTGGGTGTCGCGGCGTCTGCGTTGAAAGGTATTGGTAATGATGGGACCCTCAGGGCGATCGCCATATCGTGGCGTACATCAGGCTGCATCCTGATCTGTGCCCGACATCGGTCAATCTTTGATGTACATCCGGTATGATGACCGGCTGATCATCATACAGGCCCAAAACGATGGGAACGGTCACCGGTTGTTGAGATGTAGTAGAAAAACTCCTAGTCTTCTGCTTTCGAGCGATGGGATGTCTGGGAAGCAGGATGCTTCTTGGAGATGGCGGACTACGTCCACACCTCTCCACCACTCAAAGCGGAACACCACCACGGAGGAGTCGACCAACAGCAGTAGACTGGCGAGGGTTCCGTGTATCAATCATACTAGACTCTGCATACGACCTATCTATCAGCAGCGTGCAAAGCGCCAAAGTAAATATTAATAAAAAGGTAGAATTGGATAAATTAGTACCGCAACTGCAATGTGAATATAATAAACATGGCGTATTATCATATGAAAGCGGATCAGCAGCAGCATAAAAAGCGAATTCTGCAATAGTACAGAATTTTCATCAACGTAATCCACTGAAACAAACACGGCGTCCCGTGACTAAACTGTAGAAAAACGACTAAATATCAATATATAATCGTTGAAGGATACTAGCTAAACCTCTATAGATGTCTATACGAGGTAACTAACTAAATATAATTCAAAGGATATAGTGTGTCGGGAGACACAGGCGCTCTCACGTCCAGCTCACTGGGCGAAGAAGGAGAGAGTGAGGCACATGGGTAGAGGTGGCGCCCTCGTTCCCGCGCTTGTGGAAAGGAGGTAACTCGTGGTGAATACTAATTAGTGATTTTAAATTGAAGGGAGCTTCAATTAGGGAGATACAAGTGTTCCACTATGTTCGCAAGAAGAAGAAGACAAGCAAAAAGAGCATGAGTCAGGATAAGGAAAAATTTGATCTATTTTCTTGATATCAACCTGCTTATACCACTGTCTGAATTACAGGACAAATAGTTATTCAGGTTGTCTCATAAATACAGAATAAAAAAACTTAAAGGTGATGTTAAGATGATCAGATGAAATTAAACAATTTTTTATACAGCACCAATACAATGGGTTTGTACTGCCAATTATCCATAATCAAATCTTTGCTATTCAAATGTTAAATTTTAAATTAAAATGTTCAACAATTCATCAAACTTCAATGAGAAGACACATCAATACACGAATATGATAATTAATTTGCATACCAAATTTACAAGCAAATACTACTAACATTAAAATCTTTATAAAAACAGGTACTTTTGAATCCATTGCACTTTCAAAACAATACCAGCATTATGATTGACAGATCAATTCTGATAAACAATTATACTCAATGATCAGTAGTACACAAAACATTACTTCTTCCATTCAATAATTAGGGTTTGCAAATCACAAACATGCGAAGTGGGTGAAGTTCGCATGCAAGACAAACGTTTCAAAATCTAGCGTCTAAATACAGAAGCAGGCACATACATAACTAGTTATAATGTTGAACAGGCTGTATGCTGAAGACATCTCAATTGAACAGTAAGACTTGAAATTTGTCAGTAAAAATGAAACAATCATACTACGTTTATGATATGAAAAACTACATTCCCTTAAAATAATAGTGTATAGCGGTAAAGATACTACTGCTTGAAAACAAAACAAAAAATACATCAATTTTTTTAAATTCAGATCCTGAACGTAGTACTGTTAAAGAACTTTCTAAGTCACACGTCACAGAACATGCCAGACATTTTCCTTCCACACTCACCATGCTCAGATCATCAAGAGCCCATGCAAACAAAGAAAGAGAGTAGGTTTACCAGAAGAGAAGGATGCTGGACCGATGTTGGCAGCACCCATGTGACCTCCGAAAGAAGGGGCGCTGAAGTTATACTGAGCTTCCCCTCCGTACATGAAGAACGCCATCCTTGCCCAGTCTCCAACCTACACAGTTGTTCAGCCACTTAATCATGATTTGCCATAAACCAATGAAATACACATCACAATCCATTATTCTAGATTTGGTAACCTGCACCCTGATCCACAAATAGTTCGTAACATTAAGATCTGTTGTAAGTTTTAGTTTATCATGGGCTTACGAATGCTGTAGTGCTACGAACGCTTCAAGGATCGGCTCTGAATCATTCAGCTGTCCAGGCCTGGAGTGGAAGGCCTGAGGGAGAGTCTAAACACTGTAATGGAATCTTACCAAATGAAAAAATAAGTCTGTTTCCATCCATGATATACCTACCATTATTAATGATGCGTTATGTATAATAACACTATTACATTTAAGTAACCTGTAATCCGGTTCACCGGCGGCGGTATTGAAACTATACTATCCATCAAAAGTTTAGACTATATTAAAATATACACATTCTGACAAGGACTCACAACCTTTTATGGTTCTGGGTCCTTAGGGCCTGCAGCTTTTCAGAGTGAAGGGCAAACAATGCATGGATGTATAAATGTTTTGCTATCAGAAGACCTACCTGTTGCTCTGCTAGTGGCCGAGAGCAGGCTATTGCCAAGCATGTAGCACAGGCCAGCTCAATCTGAAACAAGAAGAGAACACTCAGTATTAGCAATGATTCCTGCATACATGCATCAGTAGTACAGAAAATTGAATCTGATTCAAGGCAAAGCATTCTTTTCATATATTTGTTGATTAATCCATCAATCAGCAGTATACCAGCCATATGTAAATGAACTGGAAACAAGAGGACATGGTCATCAATATTCCCTGCCACAGTGTTCTGTTCCTATTTGGTTTCTGTTTTTTTTAAAAAAATTCACCACAACATTCATGTCCTGAAAACACATAACAAATTTGGTTTCCCTATCTGTAACAGTTACTGAGAAAAATCTGTCCCTATTGGGGATATCGTGCACCAAGACAAGAAACCCAAGACAAGGGGCATAACTCTGTAACACGGTTTCAGTTTTCAGAACTCCATCAAGGCATTTATGTCCTGGTTTCCCTATATATATAACGGTTTTTTGAGAACACCTGTCCCAAAAATGGATGGATGGATCTCAAACCTATATCCCCATCCCACTTCATGGCAGGGGATAAAAATCAAGTCTAGTAATCCAGTAATCGATATTGAGGGCAAAGATCCACAACTCTAGGGTAAGATGTTATGCAATCACCAAGCCTGAGCATCCACCCCATTTGGTAACCTCTTACAAGAAGCAAACGTTGCTCTGGACCAATACTTAGCCAGAATCCCTGCTGAGCTTAAGACTAAGAAACAGGGAAGGTTGAAAAATGTTGTTAACCTTCAAACTGTATGACTTGACTTAACGCTTTTTGGGTAGGGTTGTCTTTTTGTTGAAAATTTTGAAAGAGATGACATTCACATTGAACATGGTAACATTGAATAGTTTTCATTTTGAATTGTGTTCAGTTTTGTCAGCAACTGATCATGACATCATAGGAGAGCCAGCCCTAAGTCTTTCCTTTGACCAGCTTCTTGCTCCCAGTTTTAACCCAGGAGAACTACCACCTGGTCTTAACACAGGAGTACTAGACTTAGGTCTTTAACTTGGGGAACTTGCCCAAGTCTAAACCCCTGGAGGACAAACACAAGGTCTCAACAAGGACAAATGTAGGAGCACATACCTGAAATATATGCCTGGAGAAGAATCAAGCTGAACTCTATGGATACAATCAGAACTAACCCATCAGAACAACCATTGGCCTGCCAGAGGTAAAGTGCTGTTGATCGATCCCAAGAGAACTACCCCAAGAATAATCTCTACCCACCACAGATAAAGTATGATACCCGGACCTACCCGATGTAGCCGGAAGAAGCCCTTGACCTCATCAGCATCTGGTCCCTGGCACTTTCGATCAGCAGTTGCTGGAGCTGTTCCATTGGCGCGAAGTTTCTGTAGGATGTGACTGCCCTGGAACCAACAACATGGCCATCAGGACCAGGACCTGACACAATCAGATGATCACTTGGACCTGTTCTTACTCCTACACAGTTACTGCAAGTTCAACAATTGAACAAAGCTGATGTTTGAATAGACTTTGCTTCTGCAGAAAGATTTTCACAGAATGTGACATCAATGAAATGAAATGAGTCTTATCAAATAAATTTGTACAAACCTGTAGAGGTTATGAATTCATTGAAGAAAAGTCCTCCTTGGGGTACATATAAGCATTAAAATGTCCATTTTAAAAATACCTCTTACAGTTGTAACAATAGTTCAATAAATATTTTACCAAACAAAAAGCTTCGTTTTGTTTAATGAGACAACCCTATAGGGCCCCTGACAGGGCCCCCTACAGCCAAGAGCAGGTAACTCTGGCTGCTTACCTCGCATACCTCACTTTTTCATGCTGAGCGTGTCAGATCGAATGAGGGGAGGTGGGCGGCCGTACCCCAAGGAGGACTTTTCTTCAAAGAATTCATAACCTCTACAGGTTTGTACAATTATTTTTCAGAAGAAGTCCTCCTTGGGGTACATATAAGCATAAGACAGACTCCCAACGATGTCGAGTCGGGAGTGGTATTCTGTCTGGCTAACATACTCCCTAGTTCAGTTAAAGGCACAGCCGAAGCCGAGAGAGAAGGAGAAAATACACTTACCGAGTCACCTGACCGCTAGGTGCAGGGATGAAAACAGTGAATATAGCATGTGACAACGCTATAGTAAAAAAAACCGTTAAAAACCACAACCATTGTGATACCGCCACCAATAAAAATTGTGGAATTTTATAAGACCGACACCAGGAATAAAAACAATCGTGACTTCGAAAGCTCATTTGGCTAGAGAATCACGACACTGCCCACTGGTGAGAACTGTCTGGCCAAAACGAGCACGTTCCCGTGAGTGTTTGTCAAGTTGATAATGGCGGATGAACATACTCGGTCGGCTCCAGATAGCCGCTGAGCAGATCTCCTCAATGGGCAGTGCCGCAGCATATACCTTAGATGTCGCCATTGCCCTAATTGAATGAGCCTTTAACCCCTGAGGGATAGTTAACCCTTTGTGAGAGTAACTTATACAAATGGCAGAGACAAGCCACCTAGATATGGTGGCTTTGTTGGCGAAAGACCAACCTTACCACCGCCATAACAGGAGAACAGCTGCTTATCTTTCCTGAGAGCAGTCGTTAAGTTTGATATAAGCCTTGAGAGTCTTACGGGATCACACAAGGCGTGAGCACGTCGAAGAGGTACGGGCGATGGAGGCTGAGTGAAAGCTGGCAGTTCAATAGCCGTTATGTGAAAGCCTGCGATCTTAGGGACGGTAAGAGTCTGGCAACCAAATACTGACTCTGTCTTTGTGAAAGACAGTCAGAGCAGGATCCGCTGACATCGCGATGGATATCGCTACCCAAGCCAGACATTACCGCCACAAGAAAGGC